GAAAGATATAAGAAGAATTGGTTTCAGTGGTGTCAGAGTAAGTGTAAGGGGGGGGCGGGGATCCCCGGGAAAAGAAGATTGGGACCTTGCAAGTGAGAATTATCGAGCAGATCGAAAACAAGAGAAGGCAATCTTCCAGAAGGTCGAGGGGGTTGGGGGGGGGGGGGACCAACCAAGGCCAGAGTCGACGGGTGTGGGTAGGGGTTACCTAGAGTAGGTATACTGTGTAGTACTAGTTATCTCGGCTAGTTTGAGGGTCACGTTACTTATCTTGTGCCATCCAAATAGCCAGGATGTAGCAGTGGCAAATCACATGATACTCAAACTACCCGAGCGCATGAGTACTACCGTATTCCTCCCACCTGGGCAGCCGCCTGTTGTTGGTCGTCAGCCAAGTGGGTGGACAAGCCAGGCACTTGGCTGTTCGGATTCCCTCCCCCGCCAAAAATTGAACCGTGCCCGCTCGCCAGACAGAATCGAGACAGACTACTTTTGACACTTGTGCCTGTGCGTGACTCTCTCCTACCTACTAATAGAAGTATCCCCACCAAGACGACGCAATCAGCGATCCGCCTTGGCGCATCTGCGAGATCAACGCGGGGCAGCATGTTCACCAACGGGTGCACTTTGTCCACGAGTCAGTCAGTCACCTATGGCACCATTGCACCACAAGGTATCCTAACCACGTACTGTATAACACATCACTACAGACCCTTTGCCTCTTGCATCAACGTCGAATGGCTTTGTATTGGGCGAGGAAGAAATTCAGGAATCCGAGGATACGCTCAAACCATACATAATCGCGCCTTGTCTGCCCATTACTTGACAATGGCCGCCGCCGCCGCCGCCCTCTCTTGCTCTTCTTCTCCAGCCTTCTGCCCAGCTTACTTGCCAGCTGCCCAAGACAGGTATATCAATCCATCCCAACTCCTCTCTCTCTCGCCCACGGTCCCCGGCCCACAGCCCTTCAAGATCTAACCATTGTTCTTTTGAGCCGCTTTGGCAGCCTCAATGTTGAGCTCTGGTCCCGGCTCTTTCTGTGCTTCCTCCATCATAATCTCCTTGGTCGCCGTCTCTATTGACTGTTCGGGCTCACCAATCGTCTTCTGTGCTTGCGCGACAATGGCATCTGCTTCAGTGATGCCACCCTTGATGGTAGCCTGGTCGCCATCGACACCCATTGCCGCCTCGTTCTTGCGTTGGCGGAGCGCCTTGTTGTCAAAGCGGACGACCATACAGGAAAGGTTATCCGTTGAGAAGCGTGCCAGGGCGTAGTCGACCAGCTTCTTGGAGGCTTCCTGAGGGTCCTGGACACCACGGATGAGGTCGACGGCTTCTTGATCGGAGCAGACATCCCAAAGCTAGGCAGATGTTAGTAAATGCCATCCATGCGCCATCATCATCATCATATCATCATCACGTTGAACTTACACCGTCGCATGCCAAGATAAGAAACTCATCCTGATCGGCCTGGATTACCGTCTCGGTGGTGTATGGGTGACCAGTGACCAGATCCTTCATATAGGCATCCCCCAGTGCGCGAGTTACAGCAAGTACGCCGTTGACGCGGTTGTTGAGGATCAGGCCGCCGGCGCTGGCAACACGTCTGCCCTCGTTCTCGTCGCTGCCCTTGTGATCGTATGACAGACGGAGTGCTCGGCCATTTCGACAAAGTACAATGCGCGCGTCGCCAACGTTGGCTGTATAGAGCACTCTTTGCCGACTGGCCTCGTTCCGCAGCTTCGCCTCGACTTGCTGCTCGCCTGCTGGGCTGGCATCGGGCGCATCTGCCTTGACCTCTCCGCCCTCGCCGGCGTGCTTGACAGCCGAGACGGCAGCAGGCGCAAAGAGAACCGAGCCCGTAGACGACTGCGAATTGGGAACTCGGTCCTCCCACCTCAAGACGGCAATCACCGCGGTGCAGCCACTGTTCTTGAGAGGAAGCTTCTCGAGCTGCTGGTCGACTACGGTAAAGGTCTGGTCCAGCAGTTCAGGGATCGGCGTGTTTGGATTCTTGCGGATCGTGTCTTCGAGGATCAAGTGAAGTTTCTTGCCACACCAGTCCGCAGCAAAAGTGCCGGCGTGCCCGTCGAAGATGGCGAAATAGCCGTTATCCGTCTCGACGACCGCTTGCGACGAGGGATCGGACCGGGTAGAGCCAGCGTCTGAGCCCGAGGTCGTCTTGTCCGCACCGTACGAGGGCGCGGGCGTGCTCAGGAAGTTGTATAGATAGGCATGCGTGTCCTCCATGGTCCGTCTGCACTTTTTGTTCTTATCCTCTGTGACTCCCACGCGAAACGTCGACCTGGGGCCGGGGGCAGACTCGCCCGCCGAATTGTTGAGCGCACCCTGAGGTACGCTGAGGGCTGCATCTGACTTGCCCAGCTTCTGCATAGGCGTCTGCACAGTGTTCTTGTCCAACAGGCCACCCGAAGACGTTGAGGTGGGCGAGCCGCTCAGGTGCAGCGACTGCTTTGCGCTCGAGAACATGTCTCGCGCACGCGACACGCCGCTACTCCGCCGCTTCTTCTCGCTGCCGGGCGCAACACCGCTGTCGCTGAGTTTGCGGTCCGTGGCAGCAGCGCCATTGCCTGTCGTCGCTGTCGCGGTCGTGTTGGCTACAGAAGTAGCGGGGTTGCTGTCGGACGGAGGGGCAGCCGCGGGCTTGGATGCGTCGCTGATGCCAGACTCACTACTATCCTTGTCGGAGCTGCCAAACATTCTATTCAAGAGGCCTCCTGGTAAAGAAAAAGGCGAGCCCAGTTGTCGTAGTCCCCTCTAACAGTGGTCGC